AAGAGAAACGGAGGGGTCAGTGAAGAGCACCGGAGTTGAGCTTTTTGTCATCCAGTGTCTTCAGTAGAAAGAAAGAGACACGAAGAAACGATAAAGCTGATAAATGAAATTGAGGTCGATAATTTTCATTTGTCATGTGATTAATTGATTTATTGTTTTATCGCGACAGGCCTAGTAATGTTTGTCACAGTGTAACCGTTAAGTTGCTGTTTTTATTAACAAATTATATAATAACCATGAATTTGTTGTTTCACCAACCTTCTTCCTTTTACTCTTTACCATTTTCTTTATTTTAGATTATTTAAACAGTTCCTTGTTAATTTATCCTTTTGCCAAATTGTACTTTCACAGCTTTGGTCAGTTTGTACCTGGACCTTTTATTGTCCCCTGTTGTGGAGCAAAAAGGGGGAATTGGAAATGCCCTCAGTACGTTTGTCCGTCCGTGCATGTGAGAGTGATAATTTGAAAAATAAGTGACGTACTGACCTCTGTTTTGGCGTGTGGCTGCAACTAAACGTAAGGTCCAAATCCAAGATGGCCACCAACATATTTAAATGTAAATCAACCACCCCAATCCTTGGAGGAAACTAAGCTTCCTAGTTTTTATATTTCTTAAAAGTAGAGTTTCCTCAAATGATTGGGGTGGTCAAGGCCACCGTTGGCCAACCCCTGGCTGCTCCATTGAACCTGATGGTGGATAAAATGTCTCCCTCCACTCATCAGGATCCGTCACTCTGCACCGCCTCGTACAAGAAAGAAAACAAAAACTCCCTCTGTTCTCCACAGTGTAACTCCTCCCCACTTGAATATCTTGCACCAAAGACATTTAGGTTTCCTTCATCCACTTCCAGTCCAGTAAAACACTCATCTCCAGAACTACCACTCCATTCACTGTTCAAATCCCTCGGAGGCGGTGGACATCAGCGAACCGTTTGTTTACGACTAGAAGCATCTGCCACAGTTCTCTGTGTACCCACTTTGGTCTGTTACGTACCCACCTAATTAGCCACTTTTAGTTCACTTTTGAAATGAAGATGAGCAGATCTGGACCAGTTTTAGGTCGGGACATTCATGTCTGCAGCCCCAGATGATCTCAAGATCTCAAAATTTAAGAAAAGAAAATGCTTATTTTTTTAATAAGCTCCTGAGTTAGTTTTCCTAAAGAGCTGGTACCTTTGATGGTTTGTACACATGCTCAATGGATGGGTACAAAAATGGCACAAACTGGGTACAAAGTGGGGGTGTGATGTGGCAGGAGGACAAATTACCGCAGTATTTGATGCACCTCACTGTGCTTCTATAATCCTGTAATTTAACCAGTAATTATAAGTAATCTGTAACAGAGAAAATAATTCCTGAACTTTTTGGCGTATTTTCTGTTTAAACCAAAACCCTTTAAGCATCTTCAGTAAAAAAGCTTTTAGAGCTGTATGATTCAAATATATCTGATCTCCAACAAACTTTATACGAGTGTCCAGCTGTGTCCAAGCTTTGGTTACGTAGAACAGAGTCCACTTGGATCCAGGCATGCCAGTTTGCAGTTTTAACCATCATTCTGTCTCTGCTCACCCGTATGTGCTTCCCATCCTCACACCTAACTTCTCCTGACAGCCAGCCTGTGTGGTAAAGCTCTTCTTCCTGCTGCTCTTTCCTACCGCACGCTAGCCCGGAGCCGAATTCCCCGCCTCAGCATGAGTCAGGGTTGCAGTCGCGACACGAGTCGCGAGAGCAGCCGTGACACCAGCCCTGCTCGGGGCTTCGCTCCTCTGGGTGAGTACGGCCAAGACCATCGCGGTACCAGATGTTTCTCCCACGAGCTCCCTGATTGGACAGTCTGTTGAAGATGAGCATGCAGCCCCGTCTTCTTGGTGTTCTTCTTGTAGCAGTCATGGTCAAATTAAGTTCAGACTCATTTATTTTAAAGGTTTTACACAACGGAAGGTATAAAAAAAAAACAACTGCTCCTGAAACGAAGATTCCACCTAAAACCAACGCATAAGATTCTTTTTTTTTTTTTGTTTGTTTTTTACAAAAAATTAATCTAAACCCTTAAGCAGAGCTGTTCAGAGCATTTCAGAGGTTCAGTATCAGAATCTGATCAGTTTTTGTTGCTTTGGCGCATCCAAGTGTACGTTAACACAATGCCAAGGTGGAAGGACATCAGCAATGATAATCTAGTAAGAGTCAAAGGTCATTTCCAAACTATCTGGAGTCCATCAGTCTACCGTGTGAAAGATTTTTCACAAGTCTAACAAAGTTAACTCGGGTCCTCTGAACTGATTCTTCTTTGTTGAAACGTTTCGTCTTTTGTCCAAAAGACGTCTTCAGTTTTCAGCGAAGAAGAATCCGTCCAGAGGACCTGAGTTAACTTTGTTAGACTTTTCTACCTGGATTATGGAGCAGCATCAGGACATGATTCACAAGTGGAAAACATTTAAGAGATCTGACCATCTTGTCAGTAAATTCACCCTGAAGGTCAGACCGTGCAGTGACTCTGCAGGCCTCATTCAGCAGGTCAAAGATCAAAGGTTATGACCTCTTATTAAAAACAACATGGCAACACCACTTAGGTTTGGAAAGTTTCATCTGAAGGAACCACAAGACTTCTGGACCAGAACCAGACCAGAGGATAGATGTTTACCCAGAATCCACTGCAGCAAACAGCTCCTCCCAGCTGTCAGCACGGTGGTGGAGGCTGATGGTTTGGACTTCTGTCAGTCACTGAGTGGACCAGGATCTTGTCAGTAGACCAAAGGGTTCTGGAGTCAGATGTGTCGATCTGTCCAAGAGCTGAAGCTTGGACCAAAATGGGTCCAGCAGGACCATCAACCCAAATGCAGCTGCTGATGTACAACAGAATGGGTCAGAAAGAACAGAACCAATGTCCAGTCAACATCCAGAACCTCAGCCTGACTGAAACGCTGTGGTGGACCTTCAGAGTGTTGAGCAGAACCCTCATCAATGGAAAGAAGAGTGGACCAGAGCTCCTCCACAACCATCTGAGGCTGATCCAGAAAACCACTGAAGGTTCTGCTGCTGAAGGAGGTTCTACAAGCAGCTGGACCATAAGGTGGATTCTTATTCGCTGTTTGTGCATTTTAACCTAAAACCTCCGGATGTGTGAAACCTTTAAATGAACACTTGATTTTCACCATGACTCGACCTTCCGGTGCTTTTAATCTGCGTGTTTCTCTCTGCATGCTCTAGAAGTCTGTCTGGAATCAGTCACATCGTTTGTTGTTAAATTGTTCAATCGTTTATGTTAAGGTCGTGTGTCTGTGGTGTGACTTTATTAAAAATATAACTAATCAGACATATTTTGGTGTGTTATAGTCAAAAACACACCCAGGACTCTGTGCTCTTTGCTTATTACTGGCAATTACTATGAAATGGTGACGCAGAGGAGACATTTGAACTAGCTGAGTAAAAAAAAAATCATGACAGGCTGCTGTTTTAGTTAGAACGTTCATCACGAAGCACAACATGATCTTTAAACCATGGAGCTACAGAATATTTACATCATGGCTGTGAGGCTTTGGACACGCAATGTTTTGTAAAGAACCAGCTTTAAATGGTTTCTTTTAGCAGCTGTAGGTCACAATAGATGATTTGTTGACTGATGGATAATTCCTGTTCCGTTATACAATTAAAATTTATTTAGGCTTCCCC